CAGTCACATTACTGCTTAGAGGCAGATATACGTAAGTTGGCAGTACTTTCCTGGACGAGCTCTTTCACAAGGAAGCGGTTACAGGAATAAGTAATATTGTGACTTAAAATTATTTTCAGCTCACGTGACTCTAAACTCATAGTGGAGTTTTAAATACCACACGGAGAAGTTTTATAAACCATTGAAGTAAAATTTTAGTTACAAAAAAAATATCTAAACACGCATAAGTGTGCAACTAAATAAAAGCTGTAATTGGCACGATTTAGGGATGTAAATGAATTGGCACACAACGTACAGATACTATAATGGTACGTGTTCAGTATAATTCCATTGTAGATCTGTCATCATAACAGATGTATCATGTTACATGAATGCGCTGCATATTGCCGGGGACACAGACCACCCGTCTGCTGGACACGTCACAATCAACTTTGAAAGGCCGTCATACAAGTTAGTTTTCACTATAAAATAGTGGTTATTGTAACGATTTTTGACATCAGAGTTTGTGTAGAGGAAAGGTCACACAACAACAGCGTCAACCCATTTATGTCACACTTCTGGACACGGGTCTCTTCTCAGTTGAGGGCATCGAGTATATAACCAGAAATAGAAACGAAATGTCATTTAATTTGTTTGGAAACTATTCTACCAAATCATTATGGTGACAACTGCGCTCCGATTGGCCAGCCCGAATTGGAAACAATTGACGGGTGTAGTTAAAGTGCTATAATAGACGTAAATTGAAAAAATTACATATTTAATATTTAATTACCGATGAAATGTGATTCCGTTTGTTTTATAATTAGATGTTTTGCTGTTTTTTCCACACCACCTAATGGAACAGCCCCCCATAGTTAGAGATATTATCTTTATTACAATAAATATAGAATATGTTTGGAATATACGGAGACGTACACACAGGTCCGTTGTCGCTGTACTATTTCAGTTTTCTAATTTGTGATTTCAGCGCAAAAGAGAGTTGTAATATAAGGCCCATTTGCCTGATCAGTTGCCAGGGATGTGTGGCCCTTATTTGGTTTCTATTTCTGGTTATATACTAGATGTTTTTAGGTCATGTCATCACTCGAACATCCGCAATGAATATCAGCATCGATGGATGCGGCTGCGGATATTCGCAACAACTTTGGTATAATACAGTACTGATATGTAAAGTTATTAAATTTGTTAATGGTAACCATTATATTTATCGAGTTCTTAGGTTAGGTCTAATACTAATAAAAACCACCCTATCTCGAATAGGTTGGGGATATCTTTAATAAGGCCAGTCCCATATCTTTCTTCATAAGTTTTGTTTATAGTGCCCTATTAACCCCTTTTAACTCTTGGTTATGCGGGAAGGGCACTATAACTCGCATAAGGACCATCGCCGTCCTGACGACTGACATTTGCACGAAATTCATCCGGTTCTCTGTAAAGCTTTAGATGAGACGCCCCGGGTACACGTATATATAGCATCCTCCCTATTTTCCAGTTTTAATAAGGCCAGTTTAAAATTCCCCAGAATAAACTGATAGGTGCGAATGCGAGTGGGAGAGGCGAAAGAGGTTTATCAAGATCGTAGCCTAATAAGGCCTATCGTTACTTCCGTCAGATATGATGGTATGTACATACATATATTGCACAAAAAACAAAAACACTATCTTTTAGAGCGGTGGTCCGTGGCTCACAAATGCTTAACAGGTTACCGAGTCAGTAATTTCAAATCAACATATGTTTCGTAATTATTTTTAGGCAAATGGACGGTTATAAAATGAAGAAATGCAGATTCGACATTTAGGCGACGAAATAGCATTCTTAGTAAATATTTATATTGTGTACAAGGTAAGATGAGATGCGTTCATAAAGCGCTAATTAGAAAATTATTTACGCAATTTTTTTTGGCTATGGCAGAAAAACAAACAGCCAGTGTTATGTATTCAGCATCAGAGCTAAGTCATGGACCTTACTTATGTTGTTTCAGTTTACTACAATTCTTTTCTTTTTATACGGAAATAAGTGCACATTTGAACACCATCTCACCTGATGGAAAGCGACGATGTAATACCCAAGTGACGGGACGAACAAGTCGTGCGCCTTATAGTAAGCGACACACTTAATGCTCGCATTACTGTTTGGCGGCAGAAATAGGTAAGGTGGCAGCACTTCCCTGGAAAAACTCTTTCACAAGGAGCTCTACTGCTACTAAAGTATTTACACTCGCCTTGAAAAGATCCAAGTTATGGCATTCGGGGAATAAGCCAGCAGTCACGGAATTGCACTTCTTGCTATTATAAAGTTATAAAAACTACAGGAAACAGATTATGTATATATGAAATTTAACAAATCTCCTATTTAAGAGGGAGCATGCCAAAAAAGTTTTGACGTTGGCTCCGCCCACATTTGTGAGACAAATATATGCCTGAAGTTCGCGTGACATGCGACAGGAGATGTTGAATTTTGCGCATTAAAAGTACCAAATTCGTTTTAACGGAATAACTCTAAACCTAAAGGGATTACAAAAAATCCGTAGTGACAGTTCTCGATCATGCATAAATATAATTAATTATCTAATTTTTGTCCTAATAGCCTGTAGCATTTCCAGGATGAATCGAAAAAATGTGAAAATTAGAGGTAATTTCGTGATTTTTATCTATCGAGGAAACTTTATTGTTTTATGTTTCTGATTAGTGTCTATGCTTGAATATATCGTGTAGTTACTCATACAATATTTTATTTTTAACTTTAAAGTGGATATACCCCTCTAAAATCAAATCGAAGATTAGGAATTTTTCCTCTACTCCCTCTTAACCAAAAAAAGTTAACGACTAATTTAATTTGTAGAATATACTCGTATTTGGACAATGAAATCCTGAGAGTAGTATGTGACTCGTCCTTCGACAGCTCAATTTTTAAATTCTGAAATCATCGAGTACTTATATAAGAAGAAACAGAGACGAAATAAGGGCCATCCATCCCTGGCAACTGATCAGGCAAATGGGCCTAGTATCACTTTTAAATATCAACTCTCGTTCGTTAAAAAATCACAACTTAGAAAACTGAAATAGTACAGAACAACTGATCTGTGTGTACGTTCTCCGTATATTCCATAAATATTCTGTATTTATTGTAATAAAGATAATATCTCTAACAATGGCGGCTATTCCATTCGGTGGTGTGGTTAAAACAGCAAAACATCTAATTACAAAACAAACGGAATCACATTTCATCGGTAATTAAATATGCAATTTTCGTCCATTATAGCAAAGCTGAAATTAAACTGGTCGATTTGAAGTGAACAATTGACGACACCCGTCAATTGTTTAAAATTCGATCTGGCTAATCGGAGCGCAGTTGTCACCGTAATGATTTGGCAGAATAGTTTTCTAACAAATTAAATGACATTTAGTCTCTATTTCTGGTTATACACTCGATGATTGGATGTCTGGCTACTGGGATGCGAACCGGAAATGCCAATTACTCATGGTAGTATTTTATTTTATTACATATTTTATGTTATTTATTTGCATTTTATAATTTATAATTTATTGTATATTATCTATTGTTTATTAATATTTGTGTTAATGGGTACTCAAAATATTTTATTTTTCTAATTCCTAAATAAAGAGTTTAATCAAAAAAATAATCGTGAAAAGTTGTCATTTTGCAGATGTGGCCTTATTACAATCAAGGTGTCAATTATTATTAGTTTTTTATTTTGTAATTTTTTTTTATTTATTTATTAAGGCTTTGGCAAAGCCATCAGCCTAAACATGAAGTTTGTTTCTGTAAATATGGCCGCCACAAAGAGGATAGGCAATTTGAGGCGGCGTGTTTGGATTGACTCGGGATTCCTTAAAACGGGCCGATACGGATATTCTAGTTCGAGACTCATATAATTTCGCGTTTTAATCTTCGATTAAGGCACAATAGCACTATCCTCTTCCACTTTAAACTAGATTTTACAAAATAATGGAAAGACAAAATAAAAACGATACTTTTCCCTCTAAAAGGTCCAAGGCGAATCTTATTTTGTAATATAAGTTTTACGGCATCGGAATAAATGCAACAAGCCAAATCTTCAACTTTTTTTTAGTAAGAAACTCAAAGCGTTGCTCTTTGTAAATAAACATTTGTATAAATTTTACAATATTTACTTAATTCAAATAACCTGCAAGAGCCGGTCACTACCACGGTTTTTTGTCATCAAAGTACGCAGAAGCAGTATAAATAACCTTTTGTTTAACTATAGTTTTTAACCTCGCAAATCGAACTGCCTCTGTGGCCGAACGGCTACCACACTGGACTGCCATGCAGAGTTCCCGGGCTGAGAGAAATATTCGTATGGCCAACATTTATTTTCTCTCGTAAGTTTGGGTGATATTTGTGATTGTCTATGTGTGTGTCCATGATACTTGCGATACGGGGTTTCCATATTGCGGGGATATGAGTGTGTTGCTTTAAAAATATGGTAAGTTTTGGACAAGAACCTTAGAAGAAGATATTATTATAATTATTAATACAAAGATTTAGAAAAAATCTTTCGATCCGGGCGGATTTGAACCGACGTCTTCTGGTAAACCGTGCCAGACGCTATGCTAACTAAGCCACGGAACGAACCAGCGGATCTCGCGAATTTTTCTATGTATTTGTTGTCGTATCTTTGTACTTTGTTTTTCAACGACTTTTTAGCCGTAGCGCCATCTATGAGAAATCTATGAAAGTATATCGTCACTCAGTTAGATACCTTTACAGCTACCAGCCCCAGCTAGAGATGTCGATATTCACTGTATTTAAATTTGTATTAGTTGACGCAGCGTTTGACACGGTTTGCTATAAGACATCGGTTCATTTCCGGCCGGATCGAAGGAATTTTGTCTAGGTGTCTTTGTATTAATAATAATAATTATAACAAACTAGTGGAGTAATATCACAAAAAAAAATTGAATATGAATTCAATAAAAATTTAGAATATATTATTATTAAATCAAATGTGTTCTTACCTATCTTTATGTTCTGCTTGACGATCTCTCTGCCGTCGATTTTTAAACCAATTTGATACCTGCAAAAGAAACAAAATGAATATACGTACAACATTAGTTTATTATAATTATTAATACAAATAATAATAATAATAATAAAATTGTTTACTGAATAACTAAAGACTAATTATGCAAATCAATGTAGATATATAGATAGATAAAAACTTTATTCACTTCGCATGACGGCTTATTTACAAAGGATCCACTAAAACTAACACCATAGTTTTTATTATATTGAACCACTTAATATAACACATTTTTATAAGAAAAGGAACGTATAACTACACATATAACTAAATAAAGTAAATAGTTTTGGCAGTCATGGCAGTAAAATGGCGCTGGTTCAGCATAAATGAAAATAAAATCCTTTCATTACTCTAGGTATATACCATTCGGGGCCCCACTGTATGGTAATTAAAATATATAATGCGATCCCAATAAATATAAAAACACAAGATACACATAAGGCCTTTGTAACCCATCTAAAGCCATCTACAGAGCAAAGCTTTTTATTCACTTAAAAAATAGAAAATAGTGGTTAAAAACGAATTACCAAGTTTATAATTTGTAAAGTATGTCAAATATACAGACATAAGTGTATCATGAATGAAACCTAAATGTAAAAGGAATTAATAATATTTATTGTTGATATTGCATAAAATTCTGTTAAGTTTTTTTTTGTTATTAATCGTTCTTAATTTTATTTAAATAATGTAGAATTTTCTTATTGAACTGCTTTTAATTTTATTTTAATAATGTCTATGTTTTAGTAAAGTGAGGATATAGTGCCCTCAGAATGTTGCAGTGCCCCCGCGGGGTGTTACATGTCAAGTACCATAAGCATAAGAACACCTGTTATATAACCATGTAACTTGCAAATAAAGAATACGAATATGAAATGCCACGGTTCCCCACGACGCTGGTATTCTGCCGAACCGTTTTTAAAGAGACGCCACTTATCATGTCAGACAGTCATCTGGCTTTATAGTTTAATTAAATGTAAAATATAATACGTGTACCTGAACTTGGAGAATCCTATATTTCAGGTAAAAAGTAATAATTATGCAGGTGGACATATGATTAAATTATAAACAAAAATATAATAATAAAACAATAACATGGAAATCATAGACCTATCAATGACCTATACGCACTATTAGACATTAGAAAGGTTATGTGACAGAGAACTGAGGGATGGAGCGCTTAAGAACATACCATTACACGGAAACCAACATGCATACATCCAAGGCAAATCACAACAACACAAGGAACACAGGTTGTGGACAAGATAGAAGTAGCCCTTAAAGACAAAGCAATCTGCCTAGGCACTTTTATAGATATTGAAGGAGCCTTCGATAAAACCAACTTCTCCAGCATACAATCAGCAATGAGAAGACACGAAGTAGATGAAGTGCTAATTAGCTGGATTAGCAACATGCTGAAACAAAGAACAATAAAAACAACAGCAAATGAGACCCCATGGGCCATAGTAGCGAAGGGGTGCCCTCAAGGAGGGGTATTGTCATAAATGACCTCATCATTAAACTAAACAAAGAATATTTCTATACAGTATGATATGCTGATGACATAGCTATACTGGTAACAGGAAATTATGCCAATACACTCTGCGACATTACACAAGCTGCTCTTCGAATTGTGGAAAGATGGTGGAGAGCATACGAACTATCGGTAAACCCAACAAAGACGGAACTAGTAATGTTTACGTAACAAACAACTACTAGGTAACTACCGATTACCCAAACTCTTCAGCATAGAACTACAGATATCAACCGAAGTCAAGTAATTGGGAGTAATACTGGACAGCAAGTTGAACTGGAACAAACATCTGGACAACAAAATTAAAAAGCTACTATCACCTTCTGGCAGTGCCAGAGAATGGTAGGTAAACAATGGGGACTTTCACTCAAGATAACACTGTGGCTCTACACAGCGGTGATAAGACCCATGATCAGTTACGGCGCGATAGTATGGTGGCCACGAACCAAGCTGACGACCGTAACCGACAAGCTGTACAAATTCCAAAGACTCGCTTGCATTCTTGAATGCTTGTCGTCGAGTTGCGGATACCAGCTCATTGCACCAAGTAGACCTATACGCTTAAATTAGACAACTTTTATTTTGGGATAGGTATCATCCTAGGACATATTTTGAAGGACTTCTTGGAGAATATCGAGAATATCTACTGTCATTGCAAATTACGCTATATTTGTTTAGCTTTTACGTTTTAACTTAAATGAGCGTTCTAGCCACGCGGACGAGTCCGGCTTGAATGTGATCTACGCAGTGACCCTCGTGGCGACTCCGTGACCATGGGACCTGTAAAGGGCCCGAAACGTTGGTTTGTTTGAAAAAACAAATATATGCGATTAAAATCCGGAAATTGTTTCATTTCCTAGTAAATAATATTTCACGATACAGTACTCGAATATTAAATGAAATTCCACGAAAAAAAAATCGAATGCCTATTTTAATAATAAAAATTAGCCATGGAAATTAAGTAGTGAACACTGGTCCGAGAATAACCGAGATAAGGTGACAGTACTTCCCTAGACGAATTCTTTCACAAGGAGCTTTCTGCCGCTTAAGTAAGTAACAAGTGCTTTAGGTACTTAGTTTGGGATCAGAGCAACGAATGTCACGTTGTTGTTTAATTTTTTTGATAACCAGTTATAGGTTTGCCACCACGGTATGGCTTTTTATTTTTCTCGTTATATTTCGTATCGGTTTCACGCTCCATGGTCACGGGTTGACTGGCGGCAACAGCTTTAAGGACAAACACGTCATCGCTTACCACAATAATGGAAGTAACTTACAATATTGATGAATGTAAATGGAGCAAGAGAGGTTTACCAGGTTCGTACAAAATGAGAACAGTGTCTGACAAACCTAACTAAATAGTGTCTGTACCAATGTGAGAAAGATCTTACAGCTCCATTAAATTCATTTGGTTTATCATAAATATCGTCGGTATATAAAACTCACTTAAATAAGATTTTGCGTTTTAACTGAACAGGGATTATAATGTTATATGTATAGACTTTTTTCGAAATGCAGTTTTACTTACAAAGTTTTTCTTCTTGTAGATGTTTCTGTCCAATGAAACAAAAATAGAAGTCCTCGCAAGTTCATGGAATTGCATCTATTTGCCCAATTTTATTCAGTCTAATTGAGAAGCTCCCTTTTGTTGAAGTCCGTTAAAAGTTCTTTTTTAATCAAAATGGGAATAAATGAGGTTTACCTCTTAATCGACGATGTCATCATAGTCATATGTACCCGGTAGGAACAATTTGGGAAATTAATATTTCTGAATTGGTTCTAGAATATTTGATTTGGACACAAATGCTTTTGTGTGGAAACAGAACAGTGGCGTACCACCTTAACCCAGTATCTTAAAATTAACTCGCCTATTTCTTTTTTCGACCTATCCACCGTGAAGCAACCCACTGGAGCAGATATTGCGGTGACGGAAATACGACACGCTCTTGCCGTTTCCTCAAACTGACGTGGATCAGGTTTCACAAATGCACAGACACAAAGTTTACAATGCCGTACAATTTTAGTTTAAATATAGACAGTGTATATTTATTTATTTTAACATTTTTAACAGATTCTTACCACGTTATGCGTTTATATAATAATCCAGATGGCGATGCGCGATTGCCAATGATTTCGATATTCGACACGTTAGTAATTACTAATCCTGTCATTCGAATGAAAAATTAGTAACCTACTGATTTTCAGATTCGACTGATCTGAATGATCGTTCATTACCTTGGTAACAATATTGATGAATGTACATGAAGCAAGAGAGGCCTATCACGTTCGTGCAAAATGAGAACAGTCTCTGATAAATAGCAGTGGCGAGGCATCCATATAACTCGATTCCCACCGGCTTGCCTAAAATTTTCCACGTGTCATCTAATATTATAAATATTTTAAAGTTGACTGATGATGATAAATAATGATGTCAACCGTGACCATGGGACCTGTAAAGGGCCCGAAATGTCGGTTTGTTTGAAGAAACAAATATACTTACTTGATTTAAATTTGGAATAATAATCTCAGTACAGAGTACTAAAAAAACCGACCTTAAAAGTACGTGGTATTACGTCTATTTGCTAAGTTTTATTGAAATATCCTTAAATTCGCCACTATAGAGGACTTGACACTGGAGATAATAAAAAATCGGTTCTCACTACTCAAAGAATATTGAGAGAAAACGCCTTGAATTGGAGAAATAGCAAAAACAACCATTAAAATAATTGCTCCTTAAGAAAATCTAGGCGCTATTTATAAAAATGAATCTTTATGCGTGAACAGCTACCCTTAGAGGTGGATGATTTCCTTCAAAATGGGACCACTATGGAAGTACCCCCTTTCCAACAAAGAAAGAATCATGAAAATCGGTTCACAAATACCGGAGTTATCGCGTAACATACATACAAAAAAAAACATACAGTCGAATTGAGAACCTCCTCCTTTTGTGAAGTCGGTTAAAATTAGTTTCATTTCCTATGTGTAACAATCGTGAAAACCTAAGAACTCGATATTTTAAAGTAATTTTCTACATTTTGTGCTCATTTTTACGTGTAGAATAATTATTATTAACCAGTCAAATAAAGTATACTAGCATCTTGTGTGCTAATAAGCGTTGTGATTTATTGTCACCAAGGCGCCACTTGTTATGTCAAGTGTTTTTTGTTTTGCTCCGATTTTACTAAAGACAATTTTCACGCCTGGCCACTGCTAAATAGTGTATGTTCCAATGAAAAAAAGACCTACATCCTCATTAAACTAATTTGGTACAACTCACTTAAAAGTCTAATCGACTAATGGAGATAATTAAGATTTTGTGTTTTAACTGTAAAGGAATTCTAATGTTAGGCTTTTTTTCAAATTACAGTTTTACTTATAAAATTTTTCTTTTCGTAAACGTTTTTGCCCAATGCATCATTACTAATGATCTCTAATGAATTAGTATTACTAATCGATAGATTCCATAGAGTTTTCTGCCTAACCTTCTCTTAGACATCGATTCCTCCAATGTACGTACATACGCCAACTTAATTTTTAAACCTGTTCTGTTTTTATTTTGTTTTTTGTTTCTTTATGTAATTTTTCCCAAAATTCGGGGACCATATTATTAGTAAATAAATATGGCTATTTACAAAAATAATAGAAAGTGATCAAAAAATATAGTTGGCGTAGTGTTCATTCGAGTTATCGACATGGTAAATACCGTAAATGTGACGGGGGCAGGGATATTTCGATATGGACATGGTGATTGATCTGGTGGAGTTCCAAGTAGTTTCGACATTAATTATTTGAATAATGCACCCGACTCATGTCGAATGATTGTGCTTGTATTTGACTTAGGCGAATGATTTGCCCATTTGAATGATTAGAAATAGAAATGGAAACCATTTATTGCAACGCCTCATTAAAAAAAAAGGTACACAAAAAATGAGAAATATAACAGAAATAACACAAAAAACAACGTAACAACATTTAAACAACGAGATATCCCGGACATATAATTCGAGCCACCTCGCATTGTCAGTATTAAATGCACTAAGCTTAAACAATGTTTGATTGACATTGACTTACAATAAATGGACGACGGGTCTAATACAAAAACCACGAAAAAAATGTCCCAAGTCAACCTATTTAAACGTAGTGACATGTAAAGGAATATGAAAAAGCTAAAACGTTGATTTTAAATTGTAATGTCATCGCAGTACTGTCTAATTTTGCTTGCTTCGCTGTCAGTCGAACAAACGAAGACTATAGCGTGAATGACGCTCTGTATACGATTTTAACGCCCTATAAGTTCGGACACTTTTTAGCGCGGACCCGACGTCCATATAATTGTAAGTCAATGTTGATTGATCAAAAACTATTACGCAATTTTGAAACTCGTATACTAAACGTCTTTTCCATAAACCCTTGTTGGATTTGCAAACCCAGAGTAAAACTTTTTTTTCGTCGATAACACTACTTTTGTATTCTAAGCTCTTTAAGACAAAAATGCGAGGTGGCTCGAATTAAGTGGCCGGAAGTATATAATACTATACTGACATGTGTGCAGC